TCCGCGTCCACGCAGGCGACGCAGCTGACGGCAGCGACCATGCCCACTCCGATGGCCATCCATCCAGACTGAAGCCCCCTCCAAGTGCCGAGGGGCCGCGACAGCCCTGGCACCCACCAACGGCGAAATCCTGGTAGTGATTACCGGAGCCGTCGTTGGCACGTGTCCCTGGCATGCTCCTTCTCGTCAGCGCATTGGGTATTTTGCTACGTCGTGCGGTTGGAGCGCTGGCAGCAATCGGAACACTCTGTCACAGACTGGCGAATCGTCGTGAATCGCGTTGTCACTGTACTGAGCACTGCCAAATGTACGATGCCACGAAGAGAGCGCATGGGGATCCCGGCCTGCCAGGAAGCAGGGAACGCGCAGGCACCGTTGAGGGACATGTCCCACAGAAGCGCTAACGAGTGGCCCCAAGTTCACGCAACGGCCCCCTGAAAGGATGGCAACACAATTGCCCGACCCTCCTCTGCACTCCCGCTCTTGCCCGCGCGCGATTCCCTCGGCTTCCACAACAAAACTGCGGACAACTCGGGGCGCCTTGCCGACACCGACGATGTAAGCGTCGGATCAAACGACTGCTTGACCCGGTCGGCTACACCCACATGCGGGTGCAACGAGGGCGCTGCGTCCTTTGCCTATTCCCCCTCGGGCCTCCGCAACACATTTGCGAATGGCTCGGGGCCCACGGGCGAATGCCGCGAAGAGGAGAAAACCCCGAACATATCGCACAGTTCGAGAGTACCTGATGCGGTGGGCGCGGCGCTGCTTGGAGGTGACGTCGTCGATGTTGTAGCGGTGCGCCCCCCACGCGTAGATGGACGGGTAGAGGAACGCGATCACGGCGCACACGGCCCTGCGCGCAGGCGACAGGAAGGGAGGAATAACACGGGTTGAAGTCCCTGTATGTCACGACGAAAAGCCAGCGCCTTCGAGGCAAGGCAGCGGGGAGGCGCAATGGCGGCGGGTGGAAGAAAGCCGAAGCTCCACTCCCAACTAAAAATATGGGATTTGCAGAGAAAGATGCATGTGGCACTGTTCGACGGTGCCGAAAACTGTGTGCTCCACAAGAACAACACGAGCACGTAACCCAGCCGGACTGCATGCCCCCGAACAACAAATTGCAGCGGAAAAGGGAGACGATGAAGACGGGCAGCATATGGAGAGACCTACCGCTCGAGCGCGCGCGTGGGGAAAGCGAAGGGGGAGTAGGAGGAGGGCGAGACAGAAGGGCCCCGTAGTCCTTTCCAGGCATCCTGAGCGGCCTCCCGTTCATCCCGCTCAGCCTGTCGACACAAAGGGGCCTACGCTTGGAGACGGGGGAGGAGGAGGAGGAGGAGGAGGAGGAGGAGGAGGAGGAGGAGGAGGAGGAGGAGGCGGAGGAGGAGGAGAAGGAGGAGGAGGACAGGACGCAAGACTCAGCACCCAAAGCCCGCGAAAAGGATGCATACGGAAAACTCGACCAGGGGTGTGCAACACGCGATGCCGCTGGCAGACCAACGGAGGTGGAGAAGACAAAGGAGAAGGAGTAGAAAGGAGATCCGGAAGAGTTCCCCCCTCATCCCCCTCCCCCTCCGCCCTCTGCTCCCTCCACCTCCTCCCTCCGTCCATGCTGCTTGTGGCCAGTTCCTCCCTGTCGCACCACTGCACGTGTCGGTGGGGCGGGCCGGATGTTTCGCCTGAGAATTCCTCACCCTCCTCCTCCTCCTCGAAAGTTGCAAACAGGCTCGAAGATAGAGGGCGGGCCACTTTCAAAATGGAGCCCTCGCCGTGGCGCCGCTCACATTCGTGCTAACAGCTTGAAGCCGCTTCAGTGATGGGGAGCGTTTTTGTTTCAGAATGACGCTCTCGCCTTAGCGCCGCGCACACTCGTCTTCAGCGTCTGCAGCAGCGTCGATGACGAAGGGCGGCTCCTCTCCCAAGTGGGGCTCCCGCCCTGCCGCCGCGCACCCTCGTCTGAAAAGCCTGCCACACTCACGGGGATCGTGTGGCGGCTCCTCCTCCTCCTCCTCCTCCTCCTCCTCCTCCTCCTCCTCCTCCTCCTGGGCTTTCGCTTGAACCCTCTTGGTGCGCAGAAGACAAGGAACGCCAGTGGATGCACCAGCTTTACGGATGGCGGGCGGTTCCTCCGCAAACATTGGACCCTCGCCTGGGGCGTCTTGTGATCGAGCGGCCAGGGCCAGAGCATTACAGCACAGCTGCACGGACAGAGGGATGATTTTGTGCTGTCTCGCTCGAGATGCCCTCGACGATCCTGGCCAGAGAGATGATTTTGTGCTGTCTCTACGCGCTGGTTTAGTTGTTCGGAAGAGGATTTCGCAAGCTACCTCGTGGAACAGCATGATCTTGCGTTTGCGCATGCCTCAGTACTCACGGGACAGATGCAGGGCAAATAGCTCATTTTCACAACGGAGCTGTCGCTGGTCTTTAAAGGTCTTTAAAGGGAGCCTGCTTGAAGTAGAAAGCTTATGCGGAGGGGGCCTTGGGACGGGATTGTGTTGCAGCATCGGTGAGACGTAATAGGCTACTCTGGTCCTCATCCAACTCTACTCCTCCTCCTCCTCCTCCTCTCCCTCCCCCTCCTCCTCGTCGTCATCATCATCATCATCAGCATCATCATCATCATTCATCAGCATCATCATCAGCAGCATCATCATCATAAGAGTCATCATCATCACAACAACCACCACCATCACCACCATCATCATCATTGTCATCAGCAGCAGCAGCGCCGTCATCATCAGCATCATCATGATCATCGCCATCATCAGCATCATCATCATCAGCATCATCGTCATCATCATCACCATCAGCATCAGCATCAGCATCATCATCACCACCACCGCCATCATCCTCATCATCAGTATCATCATCATCAGCAGCAGCATTGCCATCATCATCATCATCAAAATCGTCATCATCAGCAGCATCGTCATCATCATTATCAACACATCATCATCATCATCATCGTCATCAGCATTATCAACAACATCATCGTCATTATCATCATGATCATCATCATCGTCGTCAGCATCATCAACATCATCATCATCATCAACGTCACCATCATCAGCAGCAAAATCAACAGCAGCAGCAACATCAACATCATCAGCATGGTCATCATCAGCATGCTCATCGTCATCAGCATCACCATCACCATCACTATCGCCATCATCATCAGCAGCAGCATCATCAGCATAATCATGATCATCGGCGTCGGCGTCGTCGTCGTCAGCAACAGCAGCAGCAGCTGCATCATCATCACCAGCAGCAGCATCAGCAGCATCAGAATCATTATCGGCATCATCTCTATCAGCATCATCAGCGTCATCATCAGCAGCAGCATCAACACCACCAGCATCATCAACATCAACAGCGCCATCAGCACCAGCATCATCATCATCAGAATGATCATCATCAGCAGCATCAGCATCATCATCATCATCATCATCAGCATCATCATCATCGTCGTAGTCATCGTCATCATCCTCGTCATCATCCCAATCATCATAAGAATCAGCATCATCATCAGCATCATCATCATCGTCATCATCGTCATCATCGTCATCATCAGCATCAGCATCAGCATCATCATTATCATCGCCAGCGTCACCATCATCATCATCATCAGCAACAGCATCATCATCGACAGGATCATCATCAGCAGCATGATCAGCAGCAGCATCATCAGCAGCATCAGCATCAGCATCATCATCATCATCAGCAGCATCATAGTCATTACCATCAGCATCATCATCACCATCATCATTATCATCATCATCATCACCATCACCATCACCATCATCATCATCATCATCATACGCATCATCACCATCAGCATCATCAGCGACATCAGCAACGGCATCAGCAACAGCAGCACCATCACCAGCATCAGCATCATCATCATCAGCAGCACCATCAGCATCATCAGCAGCAGCATCAGCATCTTCATCAGCAGCAGCATGAACACAAGCAGCAGCAACATCATCATCATCAGCAGCAGCATCAGCAGCATCAGCATCGTCATCATCATCACCATCTTGACCATTACCAGCATCATGAGCAGCAGTCGCAGCATCAGCATCACCATCATCAGCATCATCAGCAGTATCGGCATCAGAATCATCACCATTGTCACCATCAGCATCAGCATCAGCATCATCACCACCATCATCATCAGCAGCATCGTCATCAGCATCATTGCCACCATCATCGCCATCATCAGCATCATCGTTAACACCATCAGCATCATCATAACCATCATAAGCATCATCATCATCAGCAGCAGCAGCATCAGCATCAGCATCAACATCAGCATCAGCATCATCATCACCATCATCACCATCATCAGCAGCAGCATGTTCGTCGCGCCCCTCGTCCGCCTCGTCCTCCACCTCCTCCTTATCCTCCTCCTCCTCCTCCTCCTCCTCCTCCTCATCATCATCATCATCATCATCATCATCATCATCATCATCATCATCATCATCATCATCATCATCATCATCATCATCATCATCATCATCATCATCATCATCATCATCATCATCATCATCATCATCATCATCATCATCATCATCATCATCATCATCATCATCATCATCATCATCCTTACGTGCTCCTCCTCCTCCTCCTCCTCCTCCTCCTCCTCCTCCCCCGCCTCATCCTCTCCTTCCTCCTCCCTCCTCCCTCCTCCCCCTTCCCTCGTTCCTCCTCCCTCCACCCTCATCACCCCTCGCCCTCCCCTTGTTAGCACTCATCCCTCCCTCCCTCCCTGGCCCTTGCCCGCCCTCGCTCTCCTAGCCCTCCTCTCGCCATGCCTCGCCCTCCCTCGCCCTCGCTCTCCTAACCCTCCTCCCTCCGTCCCTCCCTCCCTCCGTGCGGTCACTCCTCCTCGCTTCCTCCCTCTCGCCCTTCGTGCGGTCACTCTCCCCGGCAGCTCCCTGCTGGCGGCCCGCGGTGGGAAAACCCGCTGCGGGCGGCGCGTCCCTCCGGCGGCGCGCCTGCAGGGCGAGGGAGCCGAGGACCACGACGCAGTCGGTGATGCGCAGGGCGCCGCAGGCCCAGGACTGAACAGGCGGGCGAAGGCGAGGGGTGAGGGGGGAGGAGGAGGAGGAGGAAGAGAAGGAGGGGGAGGAGGAGGAGGAGGAGGAGGAGGAGGAGGAGGAGGACAAGCTAGGTGCGCTCGCGTCATATATGACATCCTACCCCTCCCTCCCATCCATTACCATGGCGTAGATCCCCTCTCTACTCGCACAATCGGATGTCGAGCAGGGCAATGATCCCGAAAGGGTACGCGATGCATTGTAGAGCACGGCATGGCATGGCGTAGAAGAGCACCGCAAAGCGTAGTATGTTACAGCATGGCGTGGCGTGGCGTAGTGAAGAATTGCATCACAAAGCTTTGCAACGCAAAGCATGGCATCGCACAGCGGCCCCGAATAGAACATTGCATAGCATGGCGTTGAAGATCAAAGCGTAGCATGGCATAGCACGACGTGGCACTTAAGCACTGCATATCACAGCTTCAGCTGAAGGCATGGCATCGCGCAGCGGGACGCAACCTAGCATTGCAGTGCATGCCGTGGCATGGCACGGGAAATGACGCCAGCGCTGCAGCGGGAGCACGATTCGGAACGAGCGGAAGCGCGGAAATGAGGCCAGCGCTGCAGCGGGAGCACGATTCGGAACGAGCGGAAGCACGGAAATGAGGCCAGCGCTGCAGCGGGAGCACGATTCGGAACGAGCGGGGCCCGAAAATGAGGCCGGCGCCTCAGCGAGAGCAGCATTTTGAAAAAAAATGCAGGCGAAAACCCAACTCCAGGGAATCCTGTGTGTAAAAAAACAATACGCGGGGGGGGGGGGGGGAACACTCCCAACCCGTCATCAGGGGAAGGAGGAGAGTAGTATTCATATGAGTAATTGTGGGGGAGGAGGAGGAGGAGGAGGAGGAGGAGAAGGAGGAGGAGGAGGAGGAGGAGGAGGAGGAGGCGTTAGAAGAGGAGGAGGAGGAGGAAGAGGAGGAGGAGGAAAAGGAGGGAGGAGGAGGAGGAAGAGGAGAAGAAGGAGGAAGAGGAAGAGGAGAAGGAGGAGGAGGAGGAGGAGGGGGATGAGAAGCAGAAGGAGCAGGAAGAGGGGTAGGACCAGTGCAAACCCAAGACTCATCAACGACGTTGCGATGAACCCTCACCCCAATCTCCCTCTTCATAGGCCCCTACAAGGATTCATTTCCACTGGAGGAAGGGCCCCGTTGAGAGATAATCGTTTGAAAATCCTGAATCGTGCCAGAACACCACTCATGCCGCGAATCAACATTACTGTTGCGTCTTGACGATCCTGAATCGTGCCAGAACACCATTCACGGAGCTTCAACACCGCGAATCAACGTAACGGTTGCACCCTGACAATCCTACATCGTTCCAAAATACCATTTCTGATACGCTAACCATGAGAATCCGTGAAACTCTGCGAAATTTCAAACAAAATGCGCGTGGCTAGAGCGAGAGCCACACGTTGGCAAAAATCCCCCATCCATCCGTGAAACGATTGCAATGTTTTACAATGAATGTGCGCGGCGCCAAGGCGAGAGACACATTTTGAGCACCACCAGTCCTCAACCCGCGAAACTCTTGCAAATGTTTAAAACGAATACGCGCGGCGCCGAGGCGAGAGCCATATTTTGAAAACCACCTGCCCTCCATCCGTGAACTCTCCTGCAATTTGTTTACAACGAATGTGCTCGGAGCTACAGCGACAGCCACATGTTGGAAGCGGCCCGCCCTCAATCTGTGAAACTGTGTGACGCTTCAGGGTCGTAATTGGCAGGGAAGTCTAAGGCGAAACGCCCAGCCCGCCCTTCGCAGGGAGGAATTATCCATCCGCCGAACCCCGCTTGCCAGGGGTGAAAATGCGTGCGAAACATTTGGCCGTCCCCCTCCCCCTTCCCCCCTTCCCAGGGGGGAGGGACGAGCTCGTCAACCATCCCAGGGGCTCCGGAGCCCCTTGCAAGCCTCAAAGCAGCCCAACAGAGGCCAGACAGAGCGCCATGACAGTCGAAGGGAGCGTCATGACGGCCCACGGCAGCCGCACAACCATCCAAGATGGCTTCAAGATGGCCCACGAGGCCCCTAAGACAACCCAAAAGCGCCTCCTGAGGATCGCCGAATGGGCCCCAAGAGGTCAAAATCATCCAATTCCCTGGGGAAAAAAAAGTACTTGCTCAGCACATCCGCATTTTACATTTTGACCGCGAACACGACGGCCCAAAAGGCTCCTAAGATCGTCCCAACACGGCCCATGATGCCTCCAAGAAGGCCCCAAGACGGCCCAAGGCGGCCCAAAGGCAGCCCCACGAGGGCCCCAAGAGGGCTCCCCCCTCGGGAGAGCCGCCCAAAGGGCCACAAAAGGCCGCCAACACGCCCCCAAAAAGCCCCCCAGAGACCCTCAAGAGGCCCCCAAAAGCCTCCCGCAAACCCCCAAGATATTGGCCCCAAAGGGGCATCCGAAGAGACCCTCAGATTCATCCAGGAGGCTCCTGACCCAAGTTATAACTTCTGATGGAGGCAGAGGGAAAGGAGGAGGAGGAGGAGGAGGAAGAAGAGGAGGGCGAGAAGGAGGGCGAGGACGGACGATAGCGAACGAGGCAGATGAGGAAAACAGCGACAACAGCGACGACAAGGACGAGGACGAGGAGATCGGGGGAGCACGACGAGAAGGAGGACGAGGAGTGAGGATGAGGACGAGAACGGCGCAGAGGACGAAGAGGAAGACGAGATGGACAAGGACGGCGACGCCAGGTAACGAGGAAGAGAAGGACGAAGAAGAGAGGACGCGGAGGACGGCGAGTCTGGCGAGTGAAAAGGAGGAGGAAAGGGAGGTTCGAGGTTAGGACGCCGTACGGCCCAAGGTCACAAGCGTCAGGTAACAGGAGAAAGAAGAGGAGACGGAGGAGGAGGACGACGAAGACGACGACGAGGAGGACGAGGAGGACGAGGGGGGCAAGGAGGAAGGAGGACGAGGAAGGAGGGACCCCCGCGGGTTCATGCATGAAGTGGGTCCCGAAAGTGCGGACGACGGCCACCCAGGTGAAGAGAAGGAGGAGGAGGAATGGGAGGAGGAGGACCAAAACAGCTGGATATGGAAACAGGAGGGAGTAGAGAAAAGGATGTAAAGGTGGATGTGAACAGCGGAATGCCTTACTCCGCGGAATGAAGAGCAAGTCGATAGCGTATCTAAAAGCGGGCGCGATGCCTGGCCAAGCTACGAAAAGGGCAGCGGAAGGCACAGACCGCACAAGGCAAGGGTGGCGTGAAAGAGGCAGGATTGATACCGTTCGAGTCTAGTGTTCAAACCGATCCGTCGTGAGCCCACTGGCCCTAAACAGTGAATGATGTGCTCTACTGGCCGCACCCGTTACAAAAGGGGTGCTCTACTCACCGCACCCTGAACAAAGAATTGCCAGCCTGCTGCGAACGGTGGAGCACAGGCAGCTGCGCGCGGCTGCTCATCTGACATACTGACCTGGAGCAACAGTCACTTATGTGCTCAACTTCCTCCTTGCTCGCGTACCTGCGAGCGGAGTTACGGTGGTCGACTTTATGACACAATCACACGAGACGCCTCTTTGCTGGGTGATGGAGCTGCGCTGGGAACTCAGGACGGAATTTGTATTATTCTTCTCGCCGCTTAACTTGACCGCGTCGCTGGCATACCTGATCTGGCCGCCCATCACGTTGATGATGAGCCCCCGGCCAAAGCTGCCCTGAGTCATGTGGCGGGCCCGTATATCCCGAGTGTCACACCAGAAGAAGTCCTCGATTTGCTCGGCGCACAGCCGGTCAGCTAACCGCCACAGGTCGCCGACCGCCCTGTTCTCGGGGGGCGGCCGCACCGAATTCACGGGCAGGGAGCCGAAGACTCTTCGGCGCCCTGCTCGCGACGTCGATGGCGAGATTTGCTCGGATCCTGCGACCCCCTTCCCCCAAAAAAAACTTCCTGATCTCCTTTGCAGAGACGGGACCGCGCGCCGTCTCGCGCAGCGCGAGGAGGCGCCCCTCGGCTGCGCCACGCGCTGCGAGCAGCTGGGAGCCGAGCGAAGATCTACACGCCAGCTCACCGCCAGCGGCGCACCTGTTTGCCAGTGCAACGGCACTTGCCGAAACGCATGTATACGGCTCCTCTCATGCCGTATCCTGGCACCTCGTCCCTCTCGAAGGACCCATCGCTGTGTTCGCTGAGTCACGTGGCAAAATCCATGGCTGGAAACGCGACGCGCGCTTTCATGTCTGCATGGCCAGAACAAGTGAATTCAGAGACATCACGCGTCGCATGAGCAGCTTGTTCCCGGCTCGCCACGGGGCGACGACGCACGCAGCAACGCGGCGCTGGAGGGCAGCGCGTAGGCCGCTGCTCCAAGAAGGAAACAAAAAGGTCTGGAAGCTGACCTCCGTCTGACTCGTCAGCCTTTGCCTTGACCAGGCTGACGTTCCTGATCGGCATCGCGGCGTCGACGCACTCGTCCTCGCCGAGCGACGCGGTGCCGAAGACGAACTAGATATGGCTGCGAGGCCCAACCTGGCGGGCTCGGCGCCGCACTCCCGCGAGCGCGTGACCCGGGCGAGTTTCAAAGAGAAGTGCCCGGGCGCGACCTTGCAACCTGCGCCCAATTTGCGACGGCGCAGGCACTCGGTCCGCTCCTCGTAGCTTTCGCAGCCGGGCACCCGCCGGAAGATGGCAGCACTGCCAGGTAGCAGGGCGAAGTTCACCACGCGGGGCGCCTCACCTTGTTCCTTCATCTCGGCGTAGGTCACGCCATGCAACGACGCCTTCTCGACGTCGACAGCAACGCACTCCCAGTCGGGGCGACGCGCCGCCTATGAGGATGAGAGCTGCGGCGCCCGCTTCGATCCACCAGCGAACGCCCCCATGGCCCCGGCACCCACGTCGCGGAAGCCACTCAACGCCATGCGGCGTCGGACAGTCTGGGCAGTCGTGCCGCCTGGCCCCCTCCGGCGCTTCCACTTGAAGACACGTCTGGAGCCCCGACGTTTCGGGCGCCCTCGAGCGGTCG